CCACCGCCAGTAACAGTTTAAACCCTAAGGTCCCCCTACTTAGCCCAAAGCCCAAAGGTCAGTAACAGTTTTGCTTTGATTCCCGTCCGGTGACTCCGGTTCCTGTCCGTTAGTTAATTAGTTATGCTTTGAAATTGAGCCTTTGCTTCTGTCGACACTTGACTCACTGTTACAGTATCAAAACTACTGTATCATTATACATATCTTCTGTCTGAAATTGCCGCTTGAAACTGGAAGGACATTTTGGAGGAAAAAGGATCTCGATTGGAATTCCCCCGCCAACAACTAGGTATGGTCTTTCAATATTCCTAACTTGTTTTCCTTGAGTGCATTGATGATTCGAAAGCTAAAATCGTTCGACTATTTACCTTCAGTTTCGACACCCATTTTCACGAACAAAAAACTTCAGTCAAACTTCTAAAATTACTCATCCTCGTCTCTCCAGACACTAACGGAATCTAATCAAACNACGAACAAAAAACTTCAATCAAACTCCAAAAATTACTCATCCTCGTCTCTCCAGACAATAACGGAATCTAATCAAACCAAAAATTTCATATCAAACCCGCTTTACAATTTTCTTCCCGAAACCCAAAATCCGAATAACCTGGTCAATCTTATCTGTTCATCTCTCAAGCAAAAAAATAATGCCTATCGGGCCCTTTTCCCAGAGCAAGGACTATTTCGTCAGTTCACGAGCCATGAAATGTCCAGGGTTTTGCTTAGATGCCAAGCTGACTCATCCACTGCTCTCGAGTTTTTCAACTGGGTAAAGAACGACCTCGATCAAAAACCAAGCACTCAAAACTACTGTATCATTATACATATTTTAGCATGGTCTAAGAATTTTAAGCAAGCAATGGAAGTGTTGTTGGAATTGGTAGAGTTGAAAAGAAATATGAATTCTTCAGAAAGATTGACGGTGTTTAAGATCTTGCTTAATTGTACTGATGAGTGTAATTGGGACCCTGTTGTATTTGACATGCTTATCAAGGCTTATCTCAAAAAGGGTATGGTTCAAGAAAGTTTTCGAGCTTTTAGAAAAATGGTGAAGCTAGGATTTGTTCCAAGCACTATTACGATTAACTGTTTGTTGAATGGGATTTCGAGGATGAATTGTGGTGAAAAGTGCTGGGAAATTTATGAGGAAATGGTAAGAATCGGGGCTCATCCCAACTCATGTACCTTTAACATATTGACTCATGTTTTGTGCAAGGAGGGAGATGTGAATAAGGTGAATGAGTTTTTGGAGAGAATGGAGGAAGAAGGATTTGATCCCGACGTTGTGACCTATAATATGCTTATTGATAGCTATTGCAAGAGAGGGAGATTGAAGGATGCTGTTTATATGTATAATATCATGTATTTAAGGGGTGTGATGCCAGATTTGATCACACACACGACCTTGATAAATGGCCTTTGTAAGGGAGGTAATGCAAGAGAGGCTCATAGGTTGTTGCATCAAATGATTCATAGAGGGCTAAAGCCAGACGTTTTCTCATACAATACTCTTATATGTGGATACTGCAAGGAGGGAATGATGCAGGAGGCAAGGTCTTTGGTGCTTGACATGATTGACTGTGGGGTTACCCCCGATAGTTTCACTTGTTGGATACTTGTAAAAGGATATCATGGTCAGGATAGGTTGATTTCTGCGATGAATTTGGTGGTGGAGCTCTTGCGGTTAAGTGTTTCCATTTCTAGATATATATTTGATTATTTGATCTTTGCTTTGTGCAAGGAGAATCGACCATTTGCAGCAAAATCATTTTTGGAAAGAATATCTCGAGATGGCTATGAGCCTAATGCGGACATCTACAATGAGTTGATTGATTCTCTTTGCAAAAGTAGTAGTTTCGTGGAGGAGGCACAAAAATTGAAAGTTCAGATGGTAGCTAAGGATATGAAGCCTAATTTATGTGCATATAGAGCTATTATTAGAAGTTTGTGTGGATTAAGCAGAAGCAAGGAGGCTGAATCCTTGATGCGAGAAATGGTTGAATCTGGCTTCCAACCTGATATTGAAATTTGCAGAGCTTTGATGAATGGGCACTGCAAGGAGAAAAATTTCCATGATGCTGAATCATTGTTGGCCTCCCTTTCCAAGGAATTTCAGATCTTTGATGCAGAATGTTACAATGCACTTGTTAGGTTGCTCTCTGAGGAAACTAGCACTACTGCGTTGATGGAATTTCAAGATAGGATGATGAAAGTAGGTTTTGCACCAAATAGTTTGACATGCGAGTATGTAATTAATGGAATGTGGAAAGCTAAAGGAGTGCAAAAACGTGAAATTCTGTTAGCTTGCTAGTTTATGCTCTTTCACTTTATTTTGAATTTGCTAAAAGTTTTTAGAATTTCAGTTAGTATACAATTCAACAGCTACAGATCATTTATGTGTATCAACAGAAGTGAAATGTGAACTTGGAAGTTGCATTACAAATCTCAGCTTCTATAGTATATATAGAATCTGTTTCAGAAAATTTCAAGAACTGAAGCTCAAAGTTCTCTTCAGATGAATACCATCAGTTTTATGGTCGCCTGGAATGTAACAATAAAGCTCTGAAGACGAGCCAAATTTTTAAATTTGAAAGCTGATTGTGTTCTATAAAGTGGAGAATTTTTTAGTATTTTTGGAATATGGAACTCAATACTCTTGCAACTGTTTAATTGGCACTTGTATTATTAGTTCATGTTTGGTCTCAATTAAGTAGTTTAAGTCTTAACCATGTCAATTAAATAGGAACATGAAGTATCGAATGCTGCATACTTCGAGAATTTTAAATATACCTAGAGCTTGATGTGTTTTTACTAAGGGGAGTGCATTCAATTGAGACTTTTAATGACTTTTTTAGATTTAAAAAGTTTAGAGGGTATTCAATGTACACTTTTGGAGACTCTCTAAAAGTATTGGTGTATTAAATTGAGACTTTTATAAACTTTTAAAATATCTCTAAAAATCATGGTGTATTCAATTAAAACTTT